TTATTGGAGAATGCATGTCGCGCCATCAAGTCGGGCCTTTGCCCTTAGAACCAGAAGTACCTGAAACATCCACAAAAACTGTAAGCACAAGCTTAGTGAGTTTCCCAAAACATGCAAACATAAAATCACATAATATCATGAACACATACATATAAGTTTGCCATGGACTCCCTCCATGGCCTTCTTTGGAATGCCATGGGCTACCCCCATGGTCCTATATCCCCGAGCCATGGGCTCCTCCCATGGTCTTGGCAAATGTCATGGGCTCCTCCCATGGTCTACACATAAGTCCACACATAGATCACATAGCAAACAATTACATACTCGAATACAAATCATATCATAACCATTAATGGCTCGGCCTTAGTGCCTTCGACCCATGAGTGTAGTGAGAAGATTCACATTGAATATTGAACGATAGCTAACTAGGTCCTGGCTCTGAATATCAGCTCTACTCAATTCCTAAACAGAAACAAGTCCTTAAATGCAACTCAAAATGCCCCAAAACCTTTATAAGTCAAACTTGGTCAAAGATTAAAGTCAAAGTCAAAGTCAACGGTCCGAGTTGACACAACTCGCCGAGTTGTCCTTCAACTTGTCAAGTTTCTCCATTAACTGCACAGATCGGGAAAAACCTTATCAACTCGCCGAGTTCACTAATGAACTCGTCGAGTTAGCCAGAAATCCAACAGCTTAATGCATTAAGCTGTTTCCATCGAATCTAGGAACTCCAATTCTCAGATCTCCTCTAAAATGATGTCTAGAAGGGTAAGGTTTCAACCTTTACCCTTAGGAACCACCACAATGAGCCAAACCCAAACCCTAGACTCATTAGAGTGAGGCTTGACCCATTAAGCCCTTAAACTCCAAACGTATTGACCCAAAATGCAGATCTGGCATCCAAAGGCTGGGAAATCACGTAAAGTTTCCAACTTTACGTCCATGCATGCTAGAAAGAAACTCTAGGGTTCAAGATGGGCTAAGAAAGGACTTAATGCATAAATAGGACCTAGAACTTAGAAAAGCTTGCAACTTTAAGCCAAATGAGGCCATAAAAGGCTCAGATCTAACATAATAACCCCTGGAACATTCAACTTCTTGGACAACCCAACCATGAGCCCAAAATCAAGATAAAACCCCAAACAAAGAGATATAGATGATAACAAAGCAAGGTATAAACTTGATACCTCCAAGAGACTGCAACAAGTGGGGAGATTCTGGATCTAAGTCTCCCCTCCAAGCTCTACACCTCCAATCTTCCAAGCTTCTTCAAAAGAGCACAAAAGATCAACACTCAAGGCCCTCCACAAGCTCACACACTCACAAAAGAAGATGATACACGCTATTTAGGGTTTCTGGACAGAGGAGGTTGGTAAGGAGGCCAACCAAGGGACTTAAGGCCTTTAAATATGGTGCAACACCCTAAAAATTAGGGTTTCCTTCCCAGCCGTCAACTCGCCGAGGTGAAGCAGCTCGATTCGCCGAGTTGGTTCATTAATTTTCGCGGCCAAAGCCCTCTCGACACGCCGAGTTGGAGCTTCCAACTCGCCGAGTCCCAAAGGAAAATACAAACAATTTAAAGAATAAGCTCATACTTAAACCAAACGTTACATATAACGTTTTTATTTGAAAAAATACATATTCAAACGATAAAATAAACATATAATATGTATTTATACATAACCTTTATTATACATATTTGTATATAACGCATTTCATACGTTTTTTTATATATTTCTATACGTATAAAAATGTTTTTATATTTAATGTTACAGATAAATACGCTAAATATGTTTAAACAAGTTTAAATATATATAAACCACATATTTAGACGTGTTTTACACATATATTATCATATAAATATACTTTTAAAAGTATAAATTTGCTTTTCAAGGTATATATATGTTTTCCGAAGAAGTGGTTTTTACAATATAAACCGTATTAGTACGTATTTTCATATTTATATGTATATGATATTTTCTATACAAAATAAATATATATTACTAAATATAAATATATATACTTTTTTTAATGCATTAATACATTTTTAAATGTATAAAATTGATTTTATAATATACATATGCTTTCAAGTATATAAATACGTAGTTAAATATATAAATATGTTTTTTAACATCTAAATACCTTAAAAATATATTTATACCTTTAAAACATATTTTTTTAGCTTTGTTACACATTATATAAAAGAAGTTGGACTTTTAATCACAAAATGACTTCGATCCTAGTGGTAAGGCGCTTGTGTTGATTAGTTGGTGAGCTGAGTTCGAATCTGCATTCTCTGCATTTCTTCCGATAAATGCAAAAATGAAACCAGGTATCAGCCTTTAATGAACCTAAAAGACCCCAAAGCTTAAGACCAAACATTTCTTGAAAACTCAATGACTTTTATGTTCTTAGGCTGGAGGGAGTGGTGTCATCGAAACCGCATTACCTCCCCCGCCACATAAGCATCATGTCATTTTTTATCACTCAAGTGTGGTTTAGTGGTGTCATCGAAACCGCATTACCTCCCCCGCCACATAAACATCATGTCATTTTTTATCACTCAAGTATGGTTTCTTCCCACACCTAAGCATCATGTCATTTTTTATCACTCAAGTGTGGTTTCTTCCCACACCAAAGGAGTGGTGCCACACATTTATTTATTTTTTTTGTTTTTTGTTTTTTTAACTTTTTTAATTTAATAAAACTTCTTTTTTTTAAACTATTTTAATTTAATAAAACTTCTATTTTAATAAAAAAACATAATTTTTCATTACTTGAAAATTAAAAAAAAAACATTACATTGCATTACCAAAAAAAAAAAAAAAAAAAACACAAAAACCACACACATGACATTTAAATAATCCTAGAAACTTAAAAAACACAAATAAAATAACTAAAGCAAACTACATAAAGTCGTTCTCCGAGAACTCGTCTTCGGGGTCATCCGGTGGATCTAAATTAAGGTTAATGTTTTGAACCCCGTAAATGTGTTTCACCAAGCCATTGCGAAGATTGTGAAATGTTTCAGTGCAACGTATCTCTGCTCTCCTGTTTATATACTCTTCGCCACCAATTTCTATTGGTTGTGTCTCTGGTATGGTTTCTTCCTCGTCAAACACACATATCGCTCTTCCTTCGTCTTCAATAATCATGTTATGCAATATAAGACATGTATACATGATTTCTTGAAGTTTTTCCTCGCCTAAATAAGCTGCTGGTTTTTTCAATATGAATCACCGTTTCTTCAGAGCTCCAAAAGCACGCTCAACATCCTTCCTAGCTCTTTCTTGAGCTCTCTTGAATTTCTTTCGTCTAGAACCATGTGGACTCGTAAACGATTTAACAAACACAGCATACTCAGGATAGATTCCATCGACCAGATAATAACCATACTTATATGGCGTTCCACGCACTTGAAAAGAAGAATCTGGTGCGGATCCATCGTATATTTTGTTAAATATTGGTGAACGATTAAGAATGTTGATGTCGTTAATCGAACCAGGAGAACCAAAAAAAGCATGCAAAATCCACATATCTTGTGATGCAACTGCTTCAAGTATGACCGTTGGGTGACCATGATCACCTCGGGTAAATTGCCCATGATATGTTGTAGGGCAATTTTCCCATGCCCAATGGAGACAGTCTAAGCTTCCTAGCATTCCAGGAAACCCATGCACACTAGCATGATGAGCTTGCAATTGCAGGATGTCATTACGTGTAGGCTTACGTAAATATTTTGGACCATAAAACTGAATCACAGTTTTGCAGAAAAAATGGAGACTGTCTCGTGCAATCCTAGCAGACATTCTAAAACTTTCGTCTAACGCTGGCGGAATGCCATATGGTAACTGACGAAGTGCGGCCGTGTATTTTTGTAAAGGAGTGAAACCGGGTGTACCTCTAGCATCGTAGCGTTGTTGAAAAAAACTGCACTCCCTCGTTACATCTTCAACTATACGTTCGTATAAACCTTTGAGCATTCTGAAACGCCTACGAAAATAATACTCTTGATAAGTGGCATTCTCTGCAAAATAGTCTTGCACCAAACGTTGGTTGGCTTCTTCACGATTTCTGCAAATATATCTTCGTGTTCTCCGTTGAGAACTTGCAGCTGTGTTGTTACATACAACGTTGTATGTTTGTTCCGCCATTTGAACACACGCAATAGCGGTATCAAAAATAGTCTGAAATTCTTCAGAAGATGACATTTTTGAGAGAATGGTGATTTTTTTTAAATTTTTTTTTTGAGAGAGAGAAGAGATTGTGTTGTGAAAAACAAATGAAGTTGATATGTATATATATATAGGAAAGATAAGCAAAAAAATAAAAATAATAAAAAAACAAAAATAATTACCCAACAACCCAACCCATTCAACGGTCAATGCATCATCCACCAATCACCAAACACGACACTAAAGGACCGCACTGCGGCCAAGACCACACCAGACCGCGACCTGGGGGCGGTGTTTGTGGTTGACGTGGCACAAACCGCGGTCCCAGACCGCGCCCAGTCCCTTCAGCCTTAGATAAGGAATTGAGGATCCAACTAATCATCATGGAATTAGCAGGATGCCATGATGAATAAGAAGAAGATGTAGATGCAGGAGCAACAATATTACCATCAATAAAACCGATGAACTGATGAAGGAAGTACTAGATGAATCGATTGAATTGATGGAATTAGGTGAGGTTTCAAAGAACACGATGAAGGAAGAATATGATCAACGAAAAAGTGGGATGAGAAGGATCTTAATCTGATTAACTTATTAACTTATCACTCTAAACCAACAGCTACATATATACATGAAGAAGAGAAATAACAATCAACTAACTAACTAACAGATTTGTTATGAAAAGACCAAAATACCCTTTAATAAATTCTAACCATATTAACATAATTGTCTACAGCTCTAATAACCATAATAGCAATAATAATGTATGACATTTTATTGAGAAAAAAAAAATCAATGTGGCAAAGCTTGAAGTCGACTTTTTTTTTTTTTTTCTATTGAAGAAGAGAGTGTACAAATTGATTACAATATAATTGAAATACTAACCTAACTAATTAGGACTGGACACAGAACCTATCATTAAGTACTGATAAATACAAAAGTAACATATTTCGGTTTACCTTAACATACACTAACATATGTATAGTCGTTGTGTGAGTAGCAAGGGAGATATTATCTTATTAATGGCTTTCTTTACTTGCATTATACTAATTTTCTTTCCGTTATTACCATTCACCTTCACCAAAATTTAAAATCCAAATAAAAAGTTATTAAAGAAAATAAATATAAGGCTCATGTAAAAAAGACAAATTTACCTTGGCTCTCATCTCAGCCGTACACGTTCCTTCGTTCAAACAAGATTGAACGGTGGTGATTTCCACTCCAAGTTCCCTTAGCTTCTTCATGACATCCAGCAACAGCCCTTCTCTGTGCGGACACTGCAGCTCCACCAACGCATCACTCTCGATTATCGACACCTCTACCTGCACCGCCCTCGCCGTCTTCCTTCCGCCACCAGTACTTCCGGCGTCTACTACTCGGATCTTCCTCTTTGACGTATCCAACGTGTCCTGACGATGATCACGTGCTTCCAGATCTTGAATCTTCTTACGAAGTTGCTTCACGTATTCGATGGTGTCACCAAGGATCGACGCCTTGTCCATTTTAGTAACCAATGGTACCAGCGATCGAAGAATCATGAACCGCTCGTTTAGCTTCTCTCTGCGACGTCGCTCTGCGAGGACGTGGTTGGCACTGAGCTCTTCATGCGATGTCGTTTTCCGTATACGAGATGCGACGGACACCGAGGCGTCACCTTCGGTGGACTTGTTGTTGTTGTTGGAGTGGAGGAAAGGTACGGTGAAGATGATGTACTTTAGGAGCCACTGTGAGTTAGATCTAGCCGCCGCCGTGTGATGATGGTGATTTGATACCCAGGCGGTGAAGGATGATTGGGTGGACGTGTATGTTGAGTTGTGGCGTGATGCTGAGTGTGAGTCGTGCCATTGACTCAGTTGACTTGGTTGTTTGTGGAGAATGGTTGAAACTGTACGGGAGTAATGACTGTCCTCCTGTCCTATTTCTGTTTCAGCAATATATACATACAACATTTGAGTAAAATATATCTAATAACTAATGGACAAAGTTAACATATTATATAATGATGTCATTTTATGCTATATTAATATGGTGTAGTACTATTGGAAAGAGGAGCATAATATTATTATTATTATTCGGATAAAGATACAAAATCTAGTTACATACAACTTCACAAAAATATTTTGTAGGGTTTATAATCAATCATCTACTCAACTTTGCCTTCAATCGATATGTATTGAACTATAATATTTTGTTAAAAGAAATATGTATTTGTAAAGTGTTTTTGCTAGGTTTTGAGTATCAAATGATACGAACTTTTATCATATGGGTGAACTCAACCAAAAGTTGGTGCCATGGTTACCAAAGGAAAACAATAGAATGCCTACAAAATCTAGAATACCCCTTTTAATAAAAAACAATTATAAAAAGTTATAAACTTTAATAAATTCATTAACATCATTATATAAATTTGAATTGTGATGTATTGTGTTTAAGAAAAGACAAAGAAGTTGTAAACGGGATATGTAACTTTTCTTAATCAAAATAATATTAAAGTAAGTTGATGATTTTCAAATAATAATTACTAATACAGCATAAAAATCTATTAAGATTATTCAAAAAATATTTTTTTGAAGTATATAGAAAATGATTGATGATAATGCTTTTGGGTTCCTTTTGGTATTAATTATTCTAAAATTTTTATTCATAATGCATATATTATATACTAGGTTAATATCCATGAAAACCATGATTAAGAAAAAAAATTGGTACTGGTAATTTAAAATCGTAATGACTACTCAAAAATTTGTAAAAATTTATTAATTTATAAAGATAGAAGTTTTATCTGTAAATTTATAATAATTACTTTGTGTATATAAAGACGAAGTAAGATATAGAAAAAAAAAGGGGGGGGGGGGGTTGATTGGTTTCTTCATCTNATCAGGAATTTAAATATTTTAAAATTTGACTTGATTTCCAAAATTAAGATGACGAAATCAAAGGAAGTTTGTGCATTTCTGACTTATTGCTAAATTATAAAATTTATATTAATTAGAATGAAAGGTGGAATGGTAATTTAACTTTTATAGATGAGGATATGAGGAGATGTCATGTGACAAAATTGATTTTTTATTAGAATATGAAGATGGAGATACCTCGTGATCCTTGTAAATGAATGGTGGATGGGCTGTGCAGCTCCAAAGCATTTGACATAGCTCTACTTGAGTCATGATCTTGGCTAGTTGGTAACAAGTGATCAAAATGAGAGTCCAAGTTAATCGAATCGTCAAGGGGTGATCCAAACCTTATATCTGTAGACATATCAAGTTGTAGTTCATTCGCCTCCATCACGATGCTATCTTCATCATGAGGTTCTTGAACAATAGAAATATGATCCGTTTCTGCCTCAAAATCGGACTCATTTTCATCTTCTTCTTCTCCTTCTTCCTCCTCATCATCATCATCTTCTTCATTCTCAATATCATCATCGGCGTATGCATCCACTGAATATAGGTTGTCAAAAGGTTTGAACTGGTGAGGGGAAAGAAGACTGGTGTTGGAAGAATGGGCGGAAAGGGCGGGTCTAGGAAGCGGGAGAATTGACTTGTCGTTTTCGGGCCTGAAGAAATATTTCACGTGTTCAATTAAGTTGACACCCTCCTCCACCTACATATACATACATGCATTTATACGTAAATAACTTGGACCCACCGGCCAATTAACTAATTAAAAATTTACAATTTATTATTAAGCCCATACATAAAGTAGTGAAAATTGTCAAAACCTATGATCTTTTTATTACAGAAAATATAGTAGTGATTTAATAGTATATTTATTTTTCTTTATATCTGAATGATATAAGATACTTTGATGACTTTATCACTTTATATAAATGTTACACAAAATAATAATAATAATAATAATAATAATAATAATAATAATAATAATGTTACTTTGTCTCCTCCCACCTAACATCAAATAACAAACGAAAATAAAAAAATGACGACTTTTAGGATCAAGATTTTGTCTCACTCTAAGGGATAATGACTTAAAAGGGTAATATATTTTTCGATTTGTACACATTTGGTCACTGAGTTTTTTTTTCCGTCCACATTTACCCATTCAACTTGTTAAACTGTATACATTTGATCCTTATGACCCGCTACTCCAGGTTACCTGGTAAAAATGACTTAATAGAGTAATATATTTCTCACTTTGTACACATTTAGTCCTTAATATTTTTGTATACATTTAGTCCTTCATTTTTTTTTTGCAAAATAACTCATTTTTTTGTAATCATTCAGTACTTATGAATGATTTCTTTAGGTTTTTTTCTCACGAAATCTTACGTGTGATATTCATTAATGATGTGTATGGGGTTTTTGATGCTTATATCCATCGTGATCTCGACTACTTGGTTGCTTAGGTCATGTCTTCTGAAGGTCATAACTTCTTCATATCATCTTAGATTTTAACGATCTTTATATTCATGCGTTCGTATTCTAGTCTACTACAACTTTCATTTAGATTATACCCATTAAAAAATAATATATTTTTACCTACGATTTTTATATCCATACGCGGGGGCGGATTTAGTATGGTCTCGGTGCTGCACCGACAACACCTGTTTTTTCTGTTCGCAGTCTAAAAATTTTCGATTTTTTTCGTTTATATTTATTTTTCATGTATCGACAACACATATTTCATCTCGGCAACACCTACTATGTATTCCTGCGTCTGCCCCTTTCCATACGTTTTTTATGAATGCATGTATGGATGTTTTTTTTGTATAAAATCGTACGTAAAAATATATTACATTTTAACGAGAGTAATCTTAATGAAAGTTGTAGTAGACTCAAAAAATGAACACGTGGATATAAAGATCGTTAAAATTTGATATCGTATGAAGAAGTTACGACGTTCAAAATACAAGACCTAAGCCAAACCACAAGACCTACGCAACCAGGCAGTCGAGATCGTGTTGGACATAAGCATCAACAACCTCAAACAGTTCATCAATGATTGTCCCACGTAAGATGTCGTGAGAAAAACCTAAAGAAATCATTTATAAGTACTGAATGAGTACAAAAAATGACTTATTTTGAAACAAAAAAATGTTAAGGACTAAATATGTACAGAAATATTAAGGACTAAATGTGTACAAAATAAAAAATATATTACCCTATTAAATCATTTTTCTCGGCTAACCTGGAGTAACCGGTCATAAAGACTAAATGTGTATAGTTTAACAAGTTGAAGGGGTAAATGTGGACGAAAAAAAACTCAGTGACCAAATGTGTACAAATCGAAAAATTCATTACCCTTTTAAATCATTATCCCTCACTCTAATTATAGATTCAAAACATCTATTCAGAAGATTTTTTTTAATATTTTAATAACAAAGTCAGTATCATGATATTATTGTGTCGGACATAAAATTTATAATATGTAATTAGACATTTTAATAATAATTTTTTATTAAAGAATATATATACACACATACATTCCTTTGGGATATTAAAAAAAGAAAAATAGAGATCGTAGAATATCACACGCTAATACAAGATGTTAAGAGATTGTACGAAATGAAGAACAATGATCGAAGCTTGTTTGATATCTTAGAATGTTTGGAATTCTAAACTTGTTTTTCTCTTTGTATCCTAAAACAAGTTAAGATGTCAAATCAGCTTAGACCGTTAGTCTTCACCTGCTACAATCGTCAAGCATAATGCTAATAGGTTTTGATATAAACATGGAAAATGCTATGGACCAAATCGCTTTTAAGATTTATAATGTCTCTAACATTAAAACGTAAGAGCTATAATTAGATTTCAAACATAGATTGGAGAAAACTTTTAAATATATATTTTTTCAGTAAAAACATGATAACAAAATAAGTAAGATCTACAAACTATTATGAATGTTTTTTCTTGGATATATTTTCAACGACATATTTCGTGAAAATTATATTTCAAATTTTATATTAGATATTTCAAATTATATATAACCCATACAATATACATTATCTAATGGAACTTAATGAATAGTAAATTAACTTATGTTTATAGTATTTATGTGGCGGACACAAGCATAAACTAATGATTGTCTCACTAGCAACCGTTTGTGACTTAAGGTAATAAAAAATAGTAGGGGCTCACTAACAACCCTATTTTTTCAACTTTGACCTTATTTTATTTTATTTTTTTGTACAAATTGTCTTTTTTATTATTTCTTTTAAATATAGCTAAATATTATTTTACGTTTTTTTTTCTCATTCCTATTATACCTTTGTTCTATAAATAAAAACTTTTTTTATCCAACTTTATTTGATTATAAAATTTGCCCAACTTTGAACTTTTTTATAAAATTGGTCTAAACTCTTTTTTTATTAAATTTCCACCAAGCTCTAACAACAATCGTTCCAATAAAAATAAGATTATGAAGCCAATAGTTCCATTAATAAAATGTTATTGATTACATATTTATTGTTATAATAATTTTACAAATTATATACTAAACATTTATATCAAATAGATTATTTGTATATGTGATTAGTTAATATCATATAAAACTATATTATAGGTAAAAAATAATATATTCAAACTATAACTATATAATTCAATTATTTTAAATCTATAAACTCAACTATAAAAACAAAATATATACATGGAAATTTAAAACCATAACGGTATAGAAAATAGTGTAAAAATAATTTTACACCATTTGCTCTTATATTATTTCCTCACAAATGGTGTCTAGTTATAGCAAAATGGTATAAAAAAATTAAAAATAGGAATTGGTGTTGTTGTTGGGTTGAAATGGCCTTGCATCTTAAAATTTTCTTTATACAAGTTAGTTATTCAACTTCGACTAATATACACTTTTATATATTATTTTTTTAATAATATTCTATATTGGATGCGTGGAATACATTTTGAGACCATTTTAGTGTTAGAATGTGGTTGGAAAATGAAAAATTATTATTATATAACATTTAATTATTACCAAAGGGCTTCTAGCCCAGTGATATTGTGTTGTTTTTTCTTCTTGAGGTTAAGAGTTCAAGTCTCATATGAGACATAGATGAATTTAGGTGTAGATTAGGATTAGATTATATTTTCCGTTCAAAAAAAATTTTAATTATTAAATTTTACATCGAATGGTGAAAAACAAAGTTTATCTCATGCATGCCTCTAATAAATTATACTTATCCCAAATGAATTCATGGATTAGGTAATAATTTAAATTTAACGAGAGTGGATGTAAGCAAATTAACGAGTCTTTTAAATATGATATATCGGTCTAACCTTTTCAGTTGTGCCAAGTTCAACAACTCCATTCAGTAGTGGGATGCATACAACAGTCTGTGGAGTGGATGTTCAAAGTTAATTAAGCAACAGATAAAGAGACTGAATATAATTAATACTTTTAAGGGAAAAAAATCAACTTGCCTGTATATCAGCACTCTAGTGCAAGAACCCGAGACAAAACAGCAGCCATCAACATGATCAAAATGTCAGCAATATTGAGTCACAAAGAATCGAACACAGGCTCAGATAGATATTCTTTTACCTTAATTTTCCATTTGTGCTATTAGGATTTTATTAATCTTACAATCTAGCTTCATATCATGAAGTATAGATAAAGTGAAATGGACTAAACTATGTAGATCCTTCCACAGAATTATGTTGAATAAATATGTGTTTGACCTTTTATTATATGTCCTGTTACACGCATAGAATGTCTCGGTATGAATTTACATCAAATGATATTTCTATTTTTTGTATCTACTAATTTGATTTTAAGTGTTTATTATATCAAATTATGTGTTACATTCCATGTCACAAATTATTCAAACAAGAATAAAAGAATATAACAATATCCTTTTCAAAATTTTCATTGCATAGTTCGTTATTCCGTTTATTTAATGAAATAAAACAAGTACCTTGGCAAGGATAGATCTTGTGAAAACTGTACTTTCGACTTCGTTTGCACCTGTGAGCCATAGATATTGCTGTTTGCATATGCCTCTCCGACTAAACTACAACCATGCATATATAAACATTATTAATTAATGTAATTAAATGTGATTTTGAATTAATGTTGTTCAAACAATTTACAACTTGACCCCACCCGACGTGTCACTTGGGTATGCAATACGAACTAAAATTATTTTAGTTTGCAATGAAAATTTTAGAAAATATATTTGGTTGAAACGGATGGAGTTTTCATTTTATGTTTTAGAAATTTAGAAAAACATTGGAAAACTATAAAAAACACTTTTAAATTTTGAACCGAGTTTTTTATTTTCATTTTTCAATAAAAAATGGTAAGGATGGATGTGGTGTGGTGGGTGGGTGGGGGGTGGATATGGGGATTGGATGTTGGTGGTATGT